GTATTATGTATAGCTTTAAATCGTTACGACACTTGAACATAAAAGTGCATGTGATCTGTTTGTGTGCAGTTGACGAGCGCGTGTCGCTACGTGAACGCGGTGCGCGTGTCGGCGACGGACGCGGTGGGTTACCCTGACATCAGCATAGACGGACTGCTGGAGCGCGCGGCCGTGCGGCGCCGCGCGGGTCCCGCCGGCTGCGCGGGCCGCGTGCGCGTGCACGTTGTTGTGGGCTGCGGGATGTCGCGCCGCGTCGCCCGCGCCGCTCCCGCCGTCACAGCAGACGCCTCGCAATGGCCACAGCCGCAGTCGGGCCGCCTGCCGCCCTTTTCGCCTTCGCCCTTTTCTGTCGACGGATAATAATGTCGACCTAATATAAAAATAATAATGCTTTATCGAAATAAAGTTAAGTACAGAACAATATGAAATAAAATCGACCGTCACTTACAAATGTTTACCCTAAGCAAAGATTTGCACGATAACGATGAATTATAGATAAAATTGTAGAGATGGGATAAGTATATATAACACCTTGTAAAATCTGTAATATCTTTAACAGAATGTTTCCTATCTACGAAGACCTCCTTTCAAATTGGACGTGTTACAAATGCATTAGTTACGTGTCATACTCGTACATAGTAGCGCCACAACAACAAAGTAGATAAGGAACTATCAGAGCCCACGTGCAAACTTCTTCTTATTTTCCTTACGTTACATCTCCGTCTCATCTCCGTCTCTGTCATCTTGCGTAGATGCGTGAGTTTTGAATTGAGATAGGTATCTACTAATAACCCATTCTTAATAATTGTGATGTCAATTATGTAAGGTATGGTTGTTGTAGGAAAATTGTTATTTCGTTGACCGAATTATTCATGTCTTTCGGGTGTAATATTATATTTTATACATTTATATATTTATATTCGTACATACAAAGGCAACTTCTCTCTCTGCAACTTTTTTTTGTCGAAACTAAAAAGCTTTTAGGTATAAAACGCTGACGAGACATAAAAGTGGCGGTTGTATATTTAGACTTTGTGTGTGTTTTAATCAGCAGCCAAGTTTCAGTAGAAGACAAGTTTGTCGGACTGGCCGCCTCATCACCGCGCTGTGCCAGTAACCGGCCTGCACACAAACACATCACTCGTCGAATTCTTTTTACACGCGGAGAGTTTGAGAATGTGCATATTATATTATTTACGAGCAAGTTGCTTTGCAGAAAAGTTTGTTTATTTTACTTGTTATCAGCGTTGTCTGATCACTCTGATCATGGCGTAGACAGAATCAGAGAGTTCCCGTGTGTCGGCTATTAGGTATCTTCATAAACTCATATTTTATAATTATTGTGGCGTAATACGTTTCCAGAGAAGCTTTGTAGGCAATTATGAAAAATACGCAATATTGAACTTATGATGTTTTACGATAACCAACAATAAGTAACTGTCGCTAGTGAGTTCTGGGCTTCAAATGTTTAAAAAAAAATCATAGCAAAGGATTCAATAAATATATGAAAATTGCGTAGCTCTATGACGTAAACTTGAATAAACAATAACCGCCAATGCGTAGCTCTAGGCGTCGTCGAATGTCGTCAACCTTTGTTCGGGTGCAGACCACATCAAGTTTGACGCGATCTCGTAGACAGATCGCCCTCTATTTTGCCCTTTGAGTGACTTTAAACTGTCTAATGTTACACGCAGAGAGAGGTCGTATTATAGAAGCACGACAAGAGGTTGTCTGGCAACATCCTGAACGCCGCCCATCCGAATCGGTTTCGGCGATTGATCTCCTTCTCAAAGTTGGACCTACCTTACTGAACTGTTTGTCCCGGGTAGAGAAATCAGTCTACAAGTTCTAAAGTATGGACTCCGATAGTAATTGCAGTAGCTTGAACATGGATATATGACATGATCTTCATGTTATCCATGTTCAATGCACATAGTATAGAGTATATATAATAGTATAATAGATATGTAGATTACCTATACTAATATTATAAAGCGGAAGAGTGTGTTTATTTATTTAAACGCGCTAATCTCAGGAAGTACTTGTCGGATTTAAAAAAAAAAATTTTTGTTGGATAGTCCATTTATAGAGGAAGGCTTTAGGCTATATAACATTACGCTGCGACCAATAGTTTTTTTTTTAATTCCGCGCGGACGGAGCCACGGTCGACAGCTAGTATAATTATAAAACAAGGTGAGTCCGCGACTTTGTCATACTTACTGAGTCCACTTTACTTTTTTTTTAATATCATAAGTTGGCAAACAAGCGAGCCGCCACCGAAATGAAATCGCTGAAATAGCGAAGTGACCGTTGCCCATAGACATACGCAATTGCATATGCGTTGCCTACCTTTAATCGACGGAGGAGAGAATGCACTGAAAGAAAATATTATCCCTTTTCAAGCATCCTCTCATCCGGAAAGTCCACTTCCAATTCCCATTCTTTCCTTATAAGAAAAAGGGTGGGAAGGGAAAGGGGACTAAGTAAGGCCTCCGGGACGCTCACTCATCAGAATGCACGCGGAATTGCTTGCACTTGACGCCTGTCTTCTGTGTGGTCGTGGTATTTCACCGGGCGAGCCGGACCGATTCATATTATACTATAAACTTATATATCTACATATAATATTATAATCAAAATAATATTGATGAATACAATCATAAATGATGACAATTTGTACAGCTTTTGCAATACATTAGCACTAATGAAGCCGGCAAATTACAAAGGCCGTATTTACGACCTCCATTACAGCATTAATACTCGCGCCAAATATCAGATCAGCGAGCGATATTCATACTGCGATCATATAAATACTTCTTAATAAGTTTTCAACAAATGAAAAGCCGCGAAGTACTGGTAAAGTTCACTCTAAAAAAATTCGTGGTTTTGCTTATTTTGTAATTGCAAAGAACAACATACAAATTGAATTAATTTCTAAAATTTAATTTAAAACTCCTCGTCTAATGTAAATTACAAAAGATAAGCCACAAAACTGAAAAGGTCGACGGTTCGTTTTATTATTGCTGAGAGATTATGTTGTCGACTCACAGAGCGAAGATCGCTCTCGCGCCTCGCCCCTTATACAAACGAAGTCACTAATAATATTGCTTCCTAGTTATGCCAAAAAGCCGGAAAAAGCAGCCCAACTGTGGTAGAAAAGTGTTGAATAACAATATAACAAAATAACAAATAAATATTTAAGATGTGTTTGACTCGTTGTTCCTCGCCATCGAAAAATATTAATGAATAAAGCGTATCCCTCAAGGGGTGGGTAAGATGCTGCAGAGACGATACGGGGACGATGCGGTGACGATGCGGGGTCGGTGCGGGGACGTTGCGGGGGCGCTGCCGGCGCTTGCCGGCTGATTGCGTCCGCTCAACAACAATACACCATTGTTGACTGAGACCTTAAAAAGTCAAACAAAAGAAACAGAGACAGTTTTATATTTCGTGAATTAAAATTATTTCAGTTATTACGTACCACAACGAGCTGGTCGCCGCTGAGACCGGGGCCGGGGCCTGGGCCGGGACCAGGGCTGCGGGCGGAAACAACGAATTACACGGACGGATTATATGACGTTATCACTTCACCAAGCGTCGCACTGGAAATTGTAGAAATGTAGCCTCTGACGCTACTTCATAACGCTATGATCCGAACGCATGGATATAGATTATAGGTTAATTCTGAGTTTATATATTTCTAGTAAATATGTCAGTACTGTTCGGAGGAAAATCCGACACAGTGTCGTTGTATCGGCGCAACACTAGCCTTATGGAAAAGTCAACGTCTCACTAATTTATCTGACACTTGACTTGGTAACGAAAAAGCAACATTCGCGCCAAAGGATTCTAACTAATAATGTCTACAAGTACGAAGTTATAAGTTAAATTATGAGCTGATCACCACAATGCAGTCATAGGACCTCGTGTTTAAATAAAAATATATAAAATATTATAAAAAGCCATTTTACGCAAACAATACAATACAAAGCATCAAATGCAGTACCTGCGCTGCGCTGCGCTGTACAACACACACGAATCCACGCCGGCAGCGCCACCGCGGGCAACGACACGCACACAAATTGTTATAAAACTGTGATCAATCAGTGTTTCAACTCGCGCCGCGAAATAAGCTAAAAAGTTGTCAAGATTTAATATAAATGTAAATTAGACAAAATGGCAACAGATGAGGAACACAAAAAAATTAGGAAGACGGACCCGCGAACACTTTCCACACTGTGTGTGTGTAAATAAAATAATTATATGTTTTGTCATCTGTATTATTGTCATAGTATTCTTTACATACTGCATACTTTTGACATGAAAATGTAACAGGACCGAGTGGTAAGCAGCTTGCGGCCGCTTCGCAAGACGTCACAAGTTGCGCTGCGTTCGTGCGCTCGCATATTGATGGGCGCAGCGCGAGCGCGGGCGGCGCTAAGTGATCGCTCTCAGCCGTTACTTAGTAAATCCGGGCGCGGCTTAGCCTCGCCTCGCCTCGTCTCGCCTCGTGTCAACTGTTTAAAAGTGTAATATCTAGGCTTCCATATACACAGTTCTTAGAATATTGTTGTTTGCTTTAACGCCTCGTACTTAAATTGGAGATTTTAATGTGCAAGTCTAAGTTAATAGACGTACAAATGTTCTCAAAACAAATACAGTACAAGAAAAAATTGTTAATACTAGGGGCATTTGGGCGCACTAAAGCACACGAAGGCGCACTTGGGCGCACTAAAGCACACGAGGGCGCACTTGGGCGCACTAAATCACACGAGGGCGCACTTGGGCGCACTATAGCACACGAGGGCGCACTTGGGCGCATTCTAGTCCACTTCCTTCTTTTCCAATAAGCAACATTAGATTTTTATCAATAAAACGAAACAGTGTTGAAAGTGTTCAGTTTAGTATATTTGGATTGTCTTTATGTATGTATATATGTACTATAAAAATAGATTAATACGAGAATAAAGCGGACAATTAAGAAGCGCGCTAACAGCGCTATTATGCGACATGAATATGCGAGCGAGCGCGCCGCGACTCGCGCGGTTTTGGAGCGTCTCACGACTTCCACCGACACGGTAGCACTGCCCGACTAGCCAGTCATTTTTGGTACGAGTATTCATATTATATACTCGTATAACTATGGCGTATATATATATGGAGCGTCGGTGGCTCAGTGGTCAAGCACTTGACTTGCAATCTGCAGGTCCTGGGTTCGAATCCCGCCATGTATCAATGTGTTTTTAGATTTCCAATTTACATATGTACATTTATCCGACGTTCTTACGGTGAAGGAAAACATCGTGATGCAACCTGAACATATCTGAGAAGAAATTCAAAGATATGTGTGAAATCAACCAACCCGCACTTGGCCAGCGTGGTTGACTATGGCCTAATCACCCTTAACTTAGGGTAGGCACCGAGCCCCTCGGTGGGGACGTATAGTGAGCTGATGATGATGATAACTATGGCAATATTATAACATCCCAGGCAAAAACATTTATATTTTATAAAATGCTGTAATAAAAATGGAATACAACTTATTAAGTAAAATTCCAGAATAACCTGCTCATCCAATCATTACTATTGCATTATATTATGCAGAAAGTGGTGGGAAGAGAACGAGGATGAGGAAGAGGAGGAGGAGGAGGAGAAGGAGGAGGAGGAGGAGGTGGATGAGTTGGAGGA